AAAGAAAGCCATCTATCTTAAAGAAAGGAAGTTGACATATATACATATATATATCTATTTATTAATTGCATAGTTATAGAAATTGTTATGATATTAGCATTCATCAAATAAACTTGAAATAAGACTTAAAAAAAGAAAGAAATGTTTGGATGGACAAAGTTATCCTAGAAAATAAATAAAACAAAAAAAGAAAAGGAAAAAGAAAGGGAAATACGAGAAAAGCCTTCATTGTTAGTATAATTTATGCATAATTCACTAAATTAATAATAATTAACTTTAATGTTTACAAATGAAGCAAATGGATTAATCAATAATTATAAATTAAATTATTTTGATAACATTAATTGAGCTATAATATTTGTCAACAATAAATGTATTTGTTGTCCTATAATATTTGTATTTTTGTACTATAATTTCATTTTTTATTAATATAATATTATCAGATACATTCTTCAAAGATATGCAAATTTTTATTCATACATTACAAATAAATGCAATTATTAGAAATAAGTAATGTTTTCGATTCATAGCATTTTTGTTCAATTACAATTACAGTTGCAATTGCAGCTGCAGTTGCAGTTATGGCTGCAATTGCAGCTGTAGTTGCAGTTGCAGTTACAGTTACAGTTGCAGCTGCAATCAATAGCACTTGTTAATGCAATTTTTAGATATGAATTGCGAATATTAATATACTTTTAGTATGGCAAAAATTATTGTTTTAATGTTACGATTCTTTAATATTGTGCTTATAGTGTCCATTATTAGCAAATTTTTTTTTTTTTTTGCTTTAATTTTTAAACAAAAATAAGAAAACTTTGCAGGAGAAAATCAATAAATTTTGTCATCTAATAACATCTTATCCAATTTCATCAATTACTTTTTAGGAATTAATCAATAATGCTATTCGTCAATATTGTCCCTATGGAGTATGAAATAAAGTTAGAATTTATAGGATTATTTATCAATTATAATCGTATTATAAAAGATTTTAAAAAATTTACATGTCATCATGTAATTACATGTGTCATTTACTACTGTAGTATTACTGATATTACGATAATACAGTAATTGGAGAGCATATGCATGAATGTGTTTGCATGCATATTCAAAGAGTGATAATTAGATGAAATGATTGCAGTGAGGATAAGTAATAATTAAAACAGCAGAAGAGAAATATGAAATCAAAAAAGAAAATTTTGTCATTTTTGTGATGAAATTTAAAAAAAATTTTAAAAACAAAAATTGAAAGTAAAAAAAATTGTCAAATAATTAGCTAAAAAATAAAATTTTGTTTAATTATTCATAGCAAGAAAATATTGAAATTTTGAATAATTGATTGTGAAATTCAATTAAATTAAATAACATTTAATTCTTGTACGAAAACAAAAAAAGTTTTGTAAATTTGGATTGAAAGAATAAAATTTAAATAAATTTTATCTTTCATTTCATATTTATGTTAAATGTTGATTTCAAACTTTAGCATATTTTACAACAAATTCTCGACAATTTCTCATCGCAACATTCGATTCATTTCAACAAATCACACAATGATTTTTCTTTTTTCCTTTTTTTTTGAAATTTATTTTTAAATAATTTTGAAATAATTAATGAGAAGTGTGATATTGATTGAATTCTTTGTCATCGATTACAAATTTTTGCAAAATATTCATATCTAAAAAAAAATGGAAATTATTACAAAAATGAGAATAACCATAATTTTTTGGTTATTATCAACCAGAAAAATCAAATTCACCTCAAACATTTTATGCTTCATATTTTAGGCTAATAAAAGTAGATATGGTTTAGGGTCCTCTTCATTGTGACACTAATAATGTCAGCAGTTTATTTAGTTGAGAAAAAAAAATAAAAAGAAAAAAGTAACATCTAGCAAATTTAAATCTCATCTATTTTATGAATAATTTCAATGCAAGAAAAGAAAAAAGAATTTTTGACAATGAAATAAAATTAATTTAAAATATAAAATCGAAAGATTTGCATAATTTTGGCAAAATTTAAAAATTTTGCAAACGAAATTCATCCATTCGTGAAAGAAGCAAAAAAAAAAAAAAAAAAGAATTGAAATAAGTGAAAAGAAATTTGACGAGCAGTTAATTTCTTCATTTAAATTAGCTTTTAGCATTGGACTATTATCTAAATCTTTAAAAGTAATTATTTCAAATTGTTAGATGACAAAATATTGGAATGAAGCTTTTTTTTTTTTTTGCATAAAAAAAAGAAAGAAAAAAAATGAAAGGTAACAAAAGATAACAATAATTGGCAGTAAATTAATTAACCGTAAAAAAAATGATGAATTCATAATTTAATCGTAATTAATTAGAATTGATTATAATTAACCAATGATTAATTATAATTTAGGAATATTCCTTATCAGTTAAATAGCATGAAAGGTTGTTTACATTTTTTGATTAAAAATTATTTCATATTCTTGTCAATTGCTATCATTTTTATTTTAATTATATTATCATTATGTATAGTTTTGATAAAAGTTATATAAACTGATAAATGTTAGGTTAAAAGAGCAAAAATCATACTTACACTAATTTATTTCACATCTCTGATAATGTCAAAAAATACATTATACAAATAGCTAATTGAACTTTGAACTCAAATTTTTCCAATCATTGATAATATTCACTGATACAATTTGCGCAAAACATGAGATATATTGCAATTTAGCGCAAATGTTATGTGATATAATACTTTTGTTTAATTATTTTTTTTTTTTTTTTTT